CATATTTGAAGCTAGCTAAGACAGCACCTGTTTCTCATATTTCTGCCCCCGCCCAGCCCCAGCAACCCCAGCTCATAGCCTTCTCCAGCTCCCAGCCACTGATTCCTGCCCCAGGGCCTTTACATTCCCAGTTGCCCCAAGGACAGTTTTCTTCACCTTGCCCCTGGGGTGCCATCTTGGCTTCTTTGCTCATCTTCTCCCAACTTCAGAGCATAAAGTCCTAGGAGATGGTGTCTGGCAAGCTGAGGCCAAGCGCCCTGGGTTACATAGTGACACTTTCTCCAAACAACGGAGTAAAACAAAACAGAAAGGTGGGCAGAGCCTGGTGCCACAGCACTAATCTCAGCGCTCAGGAGGTGGAGGCAGGGGATCTCTGCGAGTTCAAGACCAGCCAAGGCTACATAGGGACTCTGTCTTAACCTGCATGCATGAAGTACTAAATTTGATCCTCAACATGCTGGGTTACTTCAGCAATGGGGAGGGGAGACAGATGGATCCCCAGGACTTCGGCCACCTTATTTGGCAAACCATAGGGTAGTGAGAAACCTTACATCAAAGAAAAATAAACAGCTGGGTAGTGGCGGCACATGCTTTTGGCACTTGGGAGACAGAGGTAGGCGGATCTCTGAGTTTTAGGACAGCCAGGGGTACACAGAGAAATCCTGTTTCCAAAAAAACAAAACAACCCCCCTAAAAAAAAAAAAAAAAGAAAAGAAAACTAAGCTGGGCAGGGTGGGGAGTAGGAGGTATGGCTCAGCAGTGAAAGGCAATTGCCACTAAGTCAGACAGCCCAGGTTCAGCCCGCTGGCACCCACATGGTGGCTGGAAAGAATGGCCTCCTATTTGTGGCCAGAGAGAATGGATCCCTGCAAGCTGTCTTCAAACTTCAACAGGCCTGCACCATGCTCACACACACAAACCTCACAATAAATAAATAGATAGAGAAATAACTTCTGGAAAAGCAAAGTGGACACCTCCTGAGGTGTGAATCAGGGTATGCCCTGTGACTTCTATGCGCACATGCACATACGGAGATATTACACAGAAATAAGACATATCAAAGAGTAAAATTCACTCAGTAAACCTAAAGTGAGACAATCAACCCCTGCACTTGCTAAGAACCTCGGGTCAGAGAGGCCAGTTCCCTGAACTAGACTGCATGAGGTGACTCATCCTCCCTTAGGGAGAAGTGGGTGTGGCGGAGTACTGCCTGGCCTGATTGGGCACCTGCTGAGCTGGGGGTTGCGCTGGGGCCAGCTCCAAGCTGTTTTGGCTGGCAGGGGAGCCTGGGTCTGTGCCTGCCAGGATAGCACTGTGGAGCAGAGCACAGTTCCCCATTCTGTGCCTTTCTTAGGCCACCAGAATAATCCAGGGCTTACTAATGAAGACAGACAGGCCCATTTTAGGGAACTTAGGGCTGCATAGTGACCCCAGCAGGCTGAGAACCCCTGACCTTCCTGTCTCAGCTGGATCTGAGAGGGCTCCACGGACAAGGTCACGGGACAACAAGGCCCTGCGGCAAAGCAAGGAGGGTGGGAGGGAGAGGCTGCAGGACGCTGGTATTTTTAGGAACTGAACGAAGCCCTGAAGTATGTCCATGGCCCCTCCCGAGAGCAGGCTGGGTGACTGTTTTGGAGCCTGGTTCCAGCAGAGGCGGGATGGGATGGAGGGCATGAGTCACCACTTGGTGGCTCTGGAGGAGGCCAGGCCCAGGGAAGGGAGCTCACTAGGTGCAATGGCCTGGTGCTGCTGGCAGTGAGGCTAAGCCTTAATGGGAAAATTGACCAGGTCCCCAGTGGACCACAAGTTGGTTTTCACCAACTCCACAGCCTGTAAAATGTAAGGTCTAGCGGGGTGGTGGCGCACACCTTTAATCCCAACACTTGGGAGGCAGAGGCAGGTGGATCTCTTTTTTTTTTTAACATCTATTTATTATGTATACAATATTCTGTCTGTGTGTATGCCTGCAGGCCAGAAGAGAGCACCAGACCTCATTACAGATGGTTGTGAGCCACCATGTGGTTGCTGGGAATGGAACTCAGGACCTTTGGAAGGGCAGGCAATGCTCTTAACCTCTGAGCCATCTCTCCAGCCCCCAGCAGGTGGAGGATCTCGAGTTCAAGGTCAGCCTGGTCTACAGAGTGAGTTCCAGGACAGGTAGGGTATGGACAGTGCGAATATTCCTGAAGATGCCACTCCATGCATTTATTGACTACTTAGTGCTTACTTTATGGCCAGCCTTAGGGAGACTGCCATGCTATATGCCAACGGTCTCAGGGATAACGACCATGCCACATATTTTCTGGATCATTTCCGTGTGCAAGGCTAATGACTCATCCACACCTCACATTTATTTTGCACCTGCTGCATACATACCAGGCAGGTCATAGGGATGAAGGTCATTGTGCCAAACATTTGCTGGACACTAGGTCAGTGGTTTACCGTCACTGTGCACTTATTGATCACCTGCTGCATACCAGGCTGACCCTAGGGTGGTCAGAACATCATGTATTTATTGAGCACCTACTGAAGTGGAGGTGCAGTTGGGTTGATGCGGTTCAGGCACCTTACCCAACATCTCCAGGCCTGTGTGGCCGCAGTTGCTAGGCCAAGGGTTCTTGTTTTGTAGTGTAGTGCTGGGGAGGGAACCCTAGGCCTCCCCACAGGCTGAGGGAGCCACACCCCTTTCCAGGGGAGGACTTCCCTGAGGAGTCCAGCAGTCCTCGCCAGGCGAAGTCCAGAGGAATGGAGGCTTTGGCAGAGCAGGACTTCTGAGGTTCTGAGAGGGAAGCAGGCACCTCCCACTCTGGTTCATTGCTGTTGCTGCTCTGTCTGTGTTAGTTTTTTGAGACAGGGTCTCCCTGTGTAGCCCAGGCTAGCCTTGCACTCACAGAAATTCACCTGCCTCTAGTGCTAGAATTAAAAGCATGTGCCTGTCCAGCCCCTGTTGTCTATGGCTGGACAGTAAACAAAGGCACCCTCCTGGGGGACACATGCCTGTCACCCAGGAGTCTTCATCTCTCCATCTACAGCCCCAGAGAGGAGTGGAGTTCCTGGTCTTCCAGCAGCCGGCTAGAACCGCCCACCACTCTGGCTTCCATCCTCAGGCACCTCAGACATCACCAGGTCCCGGGGAGGCTGCCCTTGCTCTTCCTTCTATGGGCGTGGGGGAGGGGCTCCTCCATCCTAGCTGAGCCCTGGCACCTTTGCTTCCGCCTGCAACATTACCTCTCCAGGTGACTGGGCCTGCAATCCTGCCTCATACACTCTGACTTCTAATGCTCAGGACCACACTACCTGGGCGTCAGAGTTTAACTTGTAACTGGTTCTCCTGCTCCACCATGTAGGTTCTGGAAATCAAACTCAGGTTGCCAGGCTTGGCTGGAAGCACCCCCACCCACTGAGCCATCTCATTGGCACCCATATTCCAGTCTTGAATGTCACCTGGCCTTTCCCCCGGTGGTCTCTTGTGCCAGTTTCCCCTGGGTAAGGGCTCCACCATGTTGGCTAGGTGCCAATCCCCGAACGTTGTATGCCCAGGCTTCTGGTGTCCTTTATAAAGCTGTACATTAATGAAGTCTGCCTGGGAGAAGTCAGGAGGGGGCGATGGGAAACAATAACACGGTAGGAAGCCACCTGCCATGGAAGGGGGCCCTCTGCAGTCTCTGGACCTGGCTGAGCCACCCTGTAGCTTAGGTCCCAGCAAGGGAGGGAAGGCAGGCAGAGCTATGGGAGGGGTGGCCCACAGTAGAGCGGCTGAGGTCAGGTGATGGGTGTGGACACCAGCACAGCAGGCCTGGCTCAGACTTTAGGAACTAGGCCTGGCTTCTGGTTTTGTTTTTTTCTGTGGAGGTACTGAGGCTGGGTTCCTGGAACTCACTGGGGAGAACACAGAAACCCCACTCAGCTCAGAAGCTTCTAGAAGTCAATGCGTCAAAGACAGAGTGTATGTTCCAGGATGCAAAGACAGTTGAGGTGGCTGTCTTGGATCTTGTGTTACAAGAGGGTGGTGGGACAGGAATGGGATGAACACAGGGGCCTAGGGTCTCAGCTGTTGGGGACTGAAGTGCAGGACAGGGAGGGCTGCACCATGTCCTGACCCTCAGGGACAGTAAACCGAGACAGAGGACCTAGAGAGGCCTGGAGGACAGGGCCAGGGAATAGACTGTAGTCCTGCATAGCAGTGCACTCAGGAGGCAGAGGCAGGGGGATTAATTAATTAACTAATCCCTCCTGGGATTGGAGGTCATGCTAAAATACACATTTATCACATTATCACTGTGTGGCAAATCGGTCATGAGCACAGGCGTAGGAACTGGGGACAGAGCCCACTTGGTAAGCACTCACCAAGTATTCATGAATTCCCGGTTCCGACCCCAGCATTTCCTGTCTGTAACCCCATTCCCTGGGAGTCCACTACCTTCTGGTTCCTGTGGGCACCAGGCATGCATGCAATGTGTACACCCACACAGAAAAAATAAATGTAAGGAAGAAAAAAAGTTTGTTGCTGGGTGGTGGCGGCGGCACACGCCTTTAATCCCAGTACTCGGGAGGCAGAGGCAGGTGGAGTTCTGTGAGTTCAAGGTCAGCCTGGTCTACAGAGCAAGTTCCAGGAGAGACTCCAAAGCTACACAGAGAGAAACTTTGCCTCAAAAAACAAACAAACAAACAAACAAAAAACATGAAAGAAAGAAAAGAATAAAAAAGGCCAGTTCGTGGTGTGTTCTAGTTCCTGTTCTGGGACTGCTTCATCTGGTGAAGCAGCTGGCCAGCCTTGAGGACCCCCCCCCCCTTCACAGACCTGGCTTTCTGAGTGTCAGGTAGGCCAGGCTGGCCTGGAGCTCCTGTTCCTCCAAGTGCAGGGTCAGCCCCACTCTAACCTCTGCTAGTAGGACCAGGAGACAGACAGACACACATAGCACAAGCTCATGGAATTGCTGTATCTGATGAGGAGCTTAGGGAAGCTGAGCTGGACTGGGTGGCGGAGGAAGGGCTGGCTCTGTCGGTGGTGCTCACCTTTATTTTCCTAACAGAAGAGATAAGGGGTCAGCTGGGAGGGACTTCCCAGTCTGACAAGCGCTGAGCCTATGGCTCCAACATGAAACTCAAATCAAGCCTGGAAGAAGTTTTCAAAGTCTTCAAAGATCATCCAGGGCTTCAGAGGTGCCTCCGACTCGGGACCTTCCAGAAACTGAGTCAATGGGAGCCAGGCACTTTCCACGAAGGCGCCCGGGGGCTAGTCCACCGTCCTGGGCTCTGCTCAGGCTGCTCCCATTTACTGCTTCCCTGCCTGCCGCCCTGGCTTCTTCTCCGGCTGCCCGCGGCCTGCACCTGGTATGCCACCCCGGCCCCGGCCACCAAACACACCTGCAAGGGAGAGAAGAGGTAGCGGCTGAGATACCAGCTTCCCTATGCGGGGGCCACAAATGCCTCCAACACAGAGGCCAAAACAGGCAGAGGACAGGTCTGTAGAAGACTCCAGGCTGTACCCAGATCCCCATGGCCTCATCTGCCCACAGGAGCCCACACCCTCATGACTACTCAGGGTGCAGAAAGGGGGTTCCTGGGTGTCCCTCCCGACCTCATTGAGACCCTACCTCGGCCAGCACCACCCATGCCTCGGCCTTTCTGCTGCTTCTGTTGCTGTGGTCCCCCTCGCCCGCGGCCCTTGGCGGCCTCTTCTCGCACCATATCGATGATTTCATCGGGGATGCGTAGGTACTTGATGGTGCTGCCGCGGATATAGCACTCGGGCATCCGCCAGAACTTGTCGCCATCCTGGGTAGCAAGGAGGTGTCACAAACAGGCACATTCCCTTAAGTCCAGTGGTGCGCCCCCGCCCCCGCAGTGTAGCCACTCACCCTTGACGTGCAGATCACCTCTCGAAGGTTGATGTTCATCCAGTTGTCACAGCTCACCAGGTGCCCATTGTACGTCTCCCCATTCTTCAGCTCCACCAGCTGTGGGAGACCTTGGTCAGTCCAGCCAGGGTAGCCAGGCCCCACCACACCGGGCTTCTCATCCTGACTACAAGCTTTAGGAGCTGGGTGTCATCACCAGGAAGTGTTGTGATGAGCAGGCACAGTGCACAGTGCACGAATAGACAAAACTCTACACTAGCTGGGGTTGGTGGCACACATGGCGTCCCCAAACTCTGGAGGCTGAGGCAGGAGGATAGTGAGACAATGGGCAAGCCCAGGCTGGCCATCTACATGAGGAATATTACACAGTCAAGAAAAGTGAACGAACCTCAAGACTTTGTTGAGTGGCAGACGGACCACAGGCTTCTCACTCAGAAACGCCCTCAAGGTGCAAAGGCAGGCACAGTGGCCAGGTGGCCAGGGGCTGAGGGAAATGAGGTGCACTTCTGAGGGCTAACAGTGTAGTAGAATGGGACAGAGGCTGAGCTCTGGCTGTGTAAGTGTGTAAACACGCTACAAGTCAGGGGATGGAACCCAGACCTGGAGCATGCTGAGCCACCTCTTGTCCACTCAGTCACACTCCTGCCCCTTTTCAAAAAACCGAGTCTCACAAGCTGCCCATGTTGGCCTTCCGCCCATGACTATGCTGCTGCTGCAGGCTCTCAGGATGCCGCATTGATAGCTGAAGCCACTGTGCTGGGGACAGGGCCAGAGCCCTGCCAGGTGCTCTCAGTCCAAGCTTGAAGTTACTCTTTTATTTTTTAAACAGTTTTTTTTGGACCTTTTACTCGTATTTGCCTGTGTTCAAAGAGTGTGTGAGTGTGGAAGGCAGAAGCCAAGCTCAGGGAAGCCAGTTCCCTCCTCCCATTATCATGTGGGTCCAGGTGAACTCAGGTCTGTACACTTGGCAACAAGCATGCGACCCACTGAGCCATCTCTCCAGCCCTTCCAGCATGAATTGTTCTTGGAACTGCAAAGGACTGGGGTTTGGACACACGAAGGGAGGTGGTCCAGAGTTCCCGTACTTACCATGGGGTGATTCTGTGCTGTCTTCAGCAGCGACAAGGGAAGCTGGAAGACAGATAGCAGTGAGTTCCCTAGTGCAGCGCTGACCATACGGGCAAGGCTGCCCCTATCGCATATGACTCTAGGTCACAGGTGACCTCTCACTGTCCTCTCCTGCAGTTAGTAGTCCCTTGGACTTCTCTGGACCATTTTGGTCATTTCCCCACAACTCCTGCCACCCAAAACCACAGGATGGAATGCAGTTCTCCATGTCTAGAGGTATCCTTGTAACCTAGAAAGTTATTTATCTGGTTGGTTTCCTGAGACGGTGTCTTGTTAAACAGACTAGGAAGGCCACAACCTTCTGAAGCACAGGGCTGCACAGTGCCTGGGATTTCTGCTTCCGTGTGCTGGGGATGAGGTCAAGGGTTCCAAAGTTCTCTATCAGTGGGGAAGGAGTCCCTGGAAACACAGAGCATGCCCTGTCCCTGTGCTTCTAGGAGGGACGGCTTGGGGCATTGCCTGGGACCCAGGTGGCAGGACTGATACAGGACATGGTGACAGAGCAGCTGGTAACACTGCCTTCCAGTCTCACAAACACCAACATAAACCACACTTGTCTCCCCAGCATCGGGGGGCTGAGGCAGCAGGATCAGTGGTCAGACTGGGCTACATCAGACCTATCTTCAAAACTCCCACAAAAACCCAAACACAAGTTGGGCAGTGGTGGCGCACGCCTTTTATCCCAGCACTCAGGAGGTAGGCGGATCTCTGTGAGTTCGAGGCCAGCCTGGTCTACAAGAACTAGTTCTAGGACAGGCACCAAAGCTACAGAGAAACCCTGCCTCAAAAAACCAAAAACAACAACAAAACAAAAAAACCAAACAGCCAGGTGTGGGGGCACACATATTTAATGCCAACACTGAGAGGCAGGGGCAGGTGGATCTGTGAGTCCCAGGCCAGTCTGGGTTACACAGTGAGGCATCATCTCGAAAGAACAAACAAACAAATAAAAAAACAAACCAAAACAAGGGCTCCAGACTCCTCAGGAGCCACCATGTTCAGTTCGGTAACTTCGGGTCATGAGAAGGCTGGGAACTCTGTATCCCGTGCCTTGATGGTCAGTGACAAGGGTGTCCAGACTGACCCTCTAACAAATGAAAAAAAAAAAGCCACAGCATGGCAGCCTACGGATAAGTTCCAGGGAGGAGGGGCACTATCGTCACTCCTTGTACAGTGTGAAGCAGGCTTGGGATAAGAGACCCTGTCTCAATAAAGAAACAAACACAACAGTCAAATCCCTGGGTACAAGGGACGGCGGGGGTTCAGAGGACACCCAGGAACTCCTGGAGCTGATCTAGTCCAACCCCGTCAGGAACTGGGTGCCAGGCAGTCACAATGAGGCTCACCCTACTGCTAAACTTTTGCAGTCCTGCCAGGGCCCCAGCCACTGCCCACAGTGCCCTCCCCCAGCTTCCCCAGACTTTCCTTGACCAATGCTGCTGAGCGTGTCCCCACCTCTGGCCAGGCCCTAATGGCCACCCTGTTTCCAACCGCCACAGCAGAGGCCGCTCTGTAATTACGGGGTGATTAGCACCAGTCTCCCCAGCTAGACAGAAGCTCAGTGTGGGTGTGGGTTCTGCTGTGGCAGAAAGGGGCAGTAAACACTTGCTGAACACAGAGGGGTGCCAGAGGGGGCACCTGGCACAGGTGCATCCTCTACAGTCCCACAGGTAAGTAAAGTGTGCCTTGGGGACAGGATGCCACCCTCAGTCCCCGCCCTGAAAGACTGGGATGGCCCTCAGTGGCCATGTGGGAGGGAGGGTCCAGACCCTGGGAAGACAGGAATGGAAGAAGTAACGAGTACGTGCTACCCACCGGAAGGCCTGGGCTACAGTATGGTAACCAGCCCGACCTCCCAAAAACAAGCTCCCCCAGTGAGGAGGGCCAGCGCGGCCAGGGCGCCTGGGATGGCCGCTGGCTTTGGGTGTACTCTAGCTCCCCCACACAGAGAACGCGCTGAAGTCTCAGCACCTCCAACCAAAGGCGATCCCTTCTAGGCCAGCCTCCAGACTTTGGGGTCCAGCGTGTAGATGAGACGGGTGGAGGCCCAAAGTCAACGGCTCAGTGGGGAAACTCCTGTCCCAGACTGACCACAGAGATCTAGAAGAGTGTCCGGTGATTACACGGGACAGGTGTCCTGCCGTGGGCAACCCTCCAGTAAAGTCAGGGCTCGGGCTGGGTGGGCGCTGTGTGGTTCAGGATGCAGCCAGTAGGGAGCGCTTACCGAGCATGCGCCGGGCCCAGGGATCCTGCACCACATAACCTCCCCAGCCAGCACTCTGGAGGGAGGGGGAATCAGGGGTTCAGGGCCAGCCTGGGCTACATGAGAGCCTGTTTTCCCAGCCTGAGAGAGGTGTGAAGGTGTACACGTGTCTTCTCCATACTCAACAGATTGAGGATGGAGAATCATGAGTTTGAGGCTAGCCTGAGCTACATGATATTCGGTTTTAGAAAACAGAAACAACAAACCGAACATCCTACCATCAAGAGCTGAGGAGATGGATTACGTCCGGCTCAGCATGCGACAAGAAGACCCGCCCTCCTCTTGGCCACCAGGTCTACTAGTGCCAGGACTGGGGAGCATGCCTGGCATGCTGACATGTCCTCCTGAGCAGGACATGCTGTGTCCCAGGAAGAAACAACACACTCTTTGCTGGGTTTGAAAAAGGTGTGGGTAGCTACAGTCAGGCACTAGATTAGCGACAAGTCGGCCAAAGAAGCCCACGTGAGACTTAGCCCCGCCCATTAGCCGGAAGTGCAGCATTCCTATCAATGATGGTGGAAATCCCGGAAGCGGTCATAGTCCCTCTTCCGGCCGCAAAAATACGTGTCTATCCAGAGATAAATTCCCAATGGCGACGGGCTAGGAGCCTGGAGCGGCACCGGTCACCTCCGGCCTCCGCTTCTCCCTGTCGCAGTAGCGCAGTAGTCCCTGAGCACGCGCCCCCGCCCCGCGGCCCTCACCATCTTCCTGCGGAGACGCTTCCGCCGCTACACAGCCGCTCGCGCTCCCGCCGGCGGCCCGCGGAGCGCCACTGGACTGAACGGGACTGACAGAGACTCCGACCAATCAGAAAGGGGCTCAAGGAACACTCCTCCAATTGGCGTGAAGTAGGGCGGTGCCTAACGGAGCGACGGCCGGGTGTGTCGTATTCACGCTGCGGGATTGAGGGGGCGGCGGTAAGTGAGGCGTGGGGTGGGGGGGGATGCTGGGAAATGGCGCCTGCGCAAACGTGCGCTCCTCGGTCTGTTCGGCGCCACCCTGTGGGCGAAGCTCATCAGTTCTTGTGGAGCAGGACGGCGAGACCTGCTTACTGCGCTCCGTCCCGCTCCCAGCCTCCAGCCAGTCCTCACCGCTCTCTTCATCTCTGCTAAGCCAGGCAGAGTCCTTGAACGCAGACGGCAGGTCCGGCTCTCCCCCCGCCACAGGAGGGGAAACAGAAATTGCTGGACGTGTGTTTTGAGACAGGCTCTGTGGGCAGCCGATGCTGATCCTGAAGTCACAACAGTGCCCCTCAGCTCCTTGAGTGCTGCCCGTTTGTAATGAGCATAGTAAGTGCCCTTTAGACATGTAAAGATAGGATCCCCACTGTACCCAAGGCTGCACCTGATGACCAGGGACGTCTCTCGTGATGACAACTGGGCAATCTATAAGCGAGCCCGAGGGCAATGCTCTGCTCTGCTCTTGTGCGGCGATGCCACCTTGATCTGCTCAGCGTCTAAAGTAGGGTAAAAGGGCCAGCCAAAGAAACTCACCAGAATCGCACCCTGGCAGGAAAAGAAATACTTCAGTCCTGAACCAACAAAACCCACCCTGACCCTGAAACCAGTGCCAAGGAAACACACTTTGGCCAGAGTCGGTGAAAGAAATATGCCCTGGCCCTGGAATTATTAGAGCCAAAAGGTTAACAAGGGCCAGGGAAAGAAACACACTTTGGCCCTGAAGCCAGAGCCAACTTTGCTCCCCACCAACTAAGCAGAAAACCAACCAATCCCTGAGCAGAGATCTAACCAAGCTGAGCTCAAGGGACTGAAATCTGACCAATTCTCACATTGAAAATCTTCTCCCTGAAAATCTTCTTCCTGAAAATCTTCTCCCTGAAAAACTCCGCCTCTAAGTAGCCCTATATAAACCCTGATCAGATTGCTGCTGCCTTGTTTCCACCCTGGCAGAGGCAGCCACTCTCCTGGCTTCTTCCCTCCCAGCCACTCATCTCTTTAATGAGGTTTGGGTGAGACCTTCTTTTACAGGAATGGAGGAGAGCGGGGAGAGCGGAGCACAGCTGTAACAACTTGGCTGGGGATGCCCTCTCCTGCTGCAGCAGAGCTTTTACACTGGGGAAGCCTTGCCCTAGAGCAGGGCTGTAAGCTGCTATGCGTACTGTGACCTGTGCTAGTCCTTGGCTCCTGACTGCCAGAATACTTTTCTGTCCGAGCTGTAATGCTTACAGCTAGGGCATCTCCCCCAGGATCCTGACCTTTGAATCAGAGATTTAGATTAGAGATTTATTTATTTATCTATCTATCTATTTATTTATTATATACACAGTGTTCAGAAGAGGGCACCAGATCTCATTACAGATGGTTGTGAGCCACCATGTGGTTGCTGGGATTTGAACACAGGACCTCTGGAAGAGCAGACAGTGACCTCTGAGCCATCTCTCCAGCCCCAGAGACTTCTTTTAGAGACTGGACCTGACCTTAAGCTAAAATACAAGTGAGCAGCCTTTAGGAGAGATAGGCTTAGGACCACAGACCGGAAGAGTTAGAGTGTGGACCTTGTTTGATAATCCTCAGCAATAAATAAATAAATAGTTAGTTAGTATATACATATTATATATGTGAAACATTTGTTTACTAAATATGTGTTTTACTGCTGTAGGCCACCAAGCCAATTCCTTGCTTTTTATTTTTTCTTTTGGTTGTTTGAGATAGGAGGGTTTCTCTGTGTAGCTCTGGCTGTCTGGGAACTGGCTCTGTAGACAGACTGGCCTAGAACTCACAGACATCCTTCTGCCTCTGCCTCTGGAGTGAGGGGACTGAAGACACATGTCACTACACCCAGCATGCTGCATATTATGTCGTGCCGAGAACGCAGCTTCTCAAGCTCTCCCAGAAGGCACGCTGCGTAAGGAACTATCTCCAAGCCCTTCTTTTATTTCGTTTTATTTTCTTTGGCTGCTGCGGATAGAATCGGAGCTCCACCCTTAGCTGTTGGAAGGCTCTGGTGTAGAACATCAATGATGATATTCTCCTGTGCTCTGCCTCTGACCCGTGACACCACTACCCAGGGCTCTGTGGGTAAAGTGGTGTGCCTGCACCAGGACTGCGGACTGTGTCTCAGCAGCAAGGGTGGGGATCTTAAGTTCCAGCCCCACACCGCCAAAAAAGAAAAGGAAAGGAAAAGAAAAGAAAAGAAAAGAAAATCAGTAAATACTGAGGAGGAGAAGTTGAGCACAGTGGTGTGCGTCTGTCCTCTCAGCACTGAGGAGTGGAGGCAGGAGGATCGGAAGAACAAGGCCATTCTTGGCTATGCCTGCAATTCAAGAACAGCCTGGTCTCCATTACTGTCTCCAATAAGCAGAAGGAAAATGTGGAAGGGGCCTCTGTATATATAACAAATAAATAATTCTTTAAAAAAACAAAACAATTATAATCTCGATTATTTATTTATTTATTTTGTGATAGAGTTTCTCTGTGTAGCCCTGACTGTCCTGGAACTCACTCTGTAGACCAGGTTGGCCTTGAACTCACAGAGATCCACCTGCCTCTGCCTCCTGAGTGTTGGGATTAAAAGTGTACGCCACCATTGCCTGGGTTCTTTAACCTTTTAAAACTTTGTTTTGTATTACTAGTGTGTGCCTTTATGCACATGCTGGGGAGGGTACACAGGCCATGTATCGGCCTTCAGAGGCCTCTCCTCCATTACTCTCCAGCTTAGTTTTGGATGGTCTCTAGTCGAATCTGAAGCTTGCCTTTCTGGCTCTGCTGGCCAGCCCAGTGTGCTCCTGGTATCTATCTCACTGTCTCTGCCTCCCCAGGGCTGAGTCACGCATGGCAGAGGCTAGCCTTTACCCCAGGG